ATTCCGAATTTTTTCCCCAATAATTCTGATTTTTTTCCCTATTTTTCCCCCAATAATTCCGATTATTTTTCCCCATTAATTTTTACCTTTTCCCCCGTTTTTTGCCCCATTCCCAGGCCTGGTGTCCTCGGAGCCGGCCAGCCTGCAGCCCCTGCTGGCCCGGCCCGGGCTGTGCAATAATTCCCATTCATTTCCCTTTTAATTCTGAATTATTCCCCCATTAAATTCCGAATTATTTTCCCTCTTTAATTCCGAATTATTTTCCCCATTAATTCCAAAATTTTTTCCCCTTTAATTCTGCATTTTTTCCCCTTTAATTCTGAATTTTTTCCCTATTAACTCCGAATTTTTTCCCCATTTTTTCCCCAATAATTCCGAATTTTTTCCCCATTTTTCCCCAATAATTCCGATTATTTTTCCTCTATAATTTTTACCTTTTTCCCCATTTTTCCCCGATTTCTCCAGGCCTGGTGTCCTCGGAGCCGGCCAGCCTGGAGCACCTCCTGTCCCAGCCCGGGCTGTGCAACAATTCCCGTTCATTTCCCCTTTAACTCCGAATTTTTGCCCCATTTTTCCCCAATAATTCCGATTATTTTTCCCCATTAATTTTTACCTTTTTCCCCGTTTTTTGCCCCATTCCCAGGCCTGGTGTCCTCGGAGCCGGCCAGCCTGGAGCACCTCCTGTCCCAGCCCGGGGGCGGCTCCGTGGCCGTGATCGCGCTGGGCGGGCCCCCGGAGGCGCTGGAGGCGCGGCCCGGGGCGCTGCGGCTGCAGCTGCTGCGCCGGAGGGGCTTCGTCAGGATCGCCCTCAGGCACGGGTGCGCTTTTGGGGTGAAAAACCGCGATTTTGGGGTGAAAAACCGCGATTTTGGGAATTTTTGGGGTGGTTTGGGGCAGGATTTGGCGTTTCCAAAGAGGAAGTTTTGGGGTTCTTTAAGGGAGATTTAGGGAATGGATTTGGGGTTCCCAATGAGGATTTTTTAGGTTTCCTCAAGTGGAATTTTGGGAAGGGATTTGGGGTTCCCAAAGTGGAATTTTGGGGAAGGGATTTGGGATTTCCAAGTGGGATTTAGGGAAGGGATTTGGGGTTCCCAAAGTGGGATTTAGGGAAGGGATTTGGTGTTTCCAAGGAGGAATTTCTGGGGTTCCTAAAGGGGGATTTTGGGGTTTCCAGGGGAGATTTTTTTAGGGTTCCCAGAGAGGAATTTAGGGAAGGGATTTGGGGTTTCCCAGGAAGAATTTTGGGGGTTCCTAGAGGGGAATTTTCAGGAAGGGATTTGAGACTTCCAACGAGGAATTTTTTGGGTTCCCAAAGAGGGATTTGGGATTTCCAAGGAGGATCTGGGGTTCCTGAAGTGGAATTTTTAGGGTTTCCAAAGGGGGATTTTGGGGAAGGGATTTGGGATTTCCAAGTGGGATTTAGGGAAGGGATTTGGGGTTCCCAAAGTGGGATTTAGGGAAGGGATTTGGTGTTTCCAAGGAGGAATTTCTGGGGTTCCTAAAGGGGGATTTTGGGGTTTCCAGGGGAGATTTTTTTAGGGTTCCCAGAGAGGAATTTAGGGAAGGGATTTGGGGTTTCCCAGGAAGAATTTTGGGGGTTCCTAGAGGGGAATTTTCAGGAAGGGATTTGAGACTTCCAACGAGGAATTTTTTGGGTTCCCAAAGAGGGATTTGGGATTTCCAAGGAGGATCTGGGGTTCCTGAAGTGGAATTTTTAGGGTTTCCAAAGGGGGATTTTGGGGAAGGGATTTGGGATTTCCAGAGGAAGATTTGGTGCAGGAATTTGGGATTTCCAGGGGGGATTTGGGGCAGGAATTTGGGATTCCCAAAGTGGAATTTAGGGAAGGGATTTGGGATTTCCAAGGGGGATTTGGGGCAGGAATTTGGGATTTCCAGGGGGGATTTGAAGAAGGGGTTTGAGGTTCCCAAAGTGGAATTTAGGGAAGGGATTTGGGATTTCCAGGGGGGACTTGGGGCAGGAATTTGGGATTTCAGGGCTGGAATTAGCAGGAGGACCAGGACAGACTCTGAATTTTGGGGTTCCCCCAAATGTTTCCCATTTTTCGGCAGGGCCCCCCTGGTTCCAGTGTTCAGTTTCGGGGAGAACGAGCTGTGCCGGCAGGTGCCGAACCCGCCAGGGGAGTTTGGGGTCCCAGAGAGGAATTTTGGGGTCCCAAAGTGGAATTTAGGGAAGGGATTTGGGGTTTCCAAGGAAGAATTTTTGGGGATCCTAAAGGGGAATTTTCAGGAAGGGATTTGGGTTTCCCAACGAGGAATTTGGGGAAGGGATTTGGGGTTTCCAAAGAGGAATTTCTAGGGTTCCTAAAGGTGGATTTTGGGGTTCCTGAAGTGAAATTTTGGAGCTCCCAAGGTGGGAATTTGGGGAAGGGATTTGGGATTTCCAAGGAGGAATTTTTGGGGCTCCCAAAGGGGAATTTTCAGGAAGGGATTTGGGATTTCCAAGGGGGACTTGGGGCAGGAATTTGGGATTTCAGGGCTGGAATTAGCAGGAGGACCAGGACAGACTCTGAACTTTGGGGTCCCCCATTTTTCGGCAGGGCCCCGCTGGTGCCGGTGTTCAGTTTTGGGGAGAACGAGCTGTTCCGGCAGGTGCCGAACCCGCCGGGCTCGCGGCTGCGGCGCCTCCAGGCGCGGCTCCAGCGCCTCATGGGGGTGGCGCTGCCGCTGTTCCACGCGCGCGGCGTCTTCCAGTACAGCTTCGGCCTGCTGCCCTTCCGCCGGCCCATCCACACCGTGGGTGAGGGAACTGGGGAGAAAAACACCAAAATCGGGAAAAAACAAAAAAAACCCGGCGAAAAAATATGGAAGTATGGCGAAAATATGGGAAAAAACCCAAAAAAATGGGAAAAAACCATAAAAAATTGGAGGGAAAGGCACAAAAGGTCAGGGGAAAAAATCCAGAAATTTGGGGTAAAAAAAGGGAATTTAGGGAAAAATAAAAATAATTGGAAAAATTGGCAAAAATTGGGTAAAAAACCTCAAAATTTGGGTAAAACCCTCAAAATTTGGGATTTAGTGCCCGTTTTCCAGTGCAGCTCGGGGCTGCTGCCCTTCCGCCGGCCCATCCACACCGTGGGTGAGGGAACTGGGGCGAAAAACACCAAAATCGGGAAAAAACAAAAAAAACCCGGCGAAAAAATATGGAAGTATGGCGAAAATATGGGAAAAAACCCAAAAAAATGGGAAAAAACCATAAAAAATTGGAGGGAAAGGCACAAAAGGTCAGGGGAAAAAATCCAGAAATTTGGGGTAAAAAAAGGGAATTTAGGGAAAAATAAAAAAAATTGGAAAATTGGCAAAAATTGGGTAAAAAACCTCAAAATTTGGGTAAAACCCTCAAAATTTGGGATTTAGTGCCCGTTTTCCAGTGCAGCTCGGGGCTGCTGCCCTTCCGCCGGCCCATCCACACCGTGGGTGAGGGAACTGGGGCGAAAAACACCAAAATCGGGAAAAAACAAAAAAAACCCGGCGAAAAAATATGGAAGTATGGCGAAAATATGGGAAAAAACCCAAAAAAATGGGAAAAAACCATAAAAAATTGGAGGGAAAGGCACAAAAGGTCAGGGGAAAAAATCCAGAAATTTGGGGTAAAAAAAGGGAATTTAGGGAAAAATAAAAATAATTGGAAAAATTGGCAAAAATTGGGTAAAAAACCTCAAAATTTGGGTAAAACCCTCAAAATTTGGGATTTAGTGCCCGTTTTCCAGTGCAGCTCGGGGCTGCTGCCCTTCCGCCGGCCCATCCACACCGTGGGTGAGGGAACTGGGGCGAAAAAACCCGCCAGGGGAGTTTGGGGTCCCAGAGAGGAATTTTGGGGTCCCAAAGTGGAATTTAGGGAAGGGATTTGGGGTTTCCAAGGAAGAATTTTTGGGGATCCTAAAGGGGAATTTTCAGGAAGGGATTTGGGTTTCCCAACGAGGAATTTGGGGAAGGGATTTGGGGTTTCCAAAGAGGAATTTCTAGGGTTCCTAAAGGTGGATTTTGGGGTTCCTGAAGTGAAATTTTGGAGCTCCCAAGGTGGGAATTTGGGGAAGGGATTTGGGATTTCCAAGGAGGAATTTTTGGGGCTCCCAAAGGGGAATTTTCAGGAAGGGATTTGGGATTTCCAAGGGGGACTTGGGGCAGGAATTTGGGATTTCAGGGCTGGAATTAGCAGGAGGACCAGGACAGACTCTGAACTTTGGGGTCCCCCATTTTTCGGCAGGGCCCCGCTGGTGC